GATGTTTTCGGGTCTAATTTGACACCGCAGATTCTTTTATTGATATTTTTTGGGACTAGTATCCATTCGGCGTAATATACATTGTTTCACCATTCTAACGTTGAACCATTAAACGAGAATCTTAACCCGTTTTTTTTTATTATTCGACCGCTTTTATCACATTAACAAATATTTTTTTACCCAACATGGAAATGCGGAGACGTCAAAAACCGGTTGAGAGACATCTTGAGGGAAAAACAAAACGCCAATTTTCACAATCTTATAAGGGATGAACACCTTTTTAAGTATAACAAATGACAGGTTATCGGTTACAAGCTTATCCTAAAACGCGTTGTTTAAATAGTCGACAATGTGCCACCAAAACTCGGTTTTATTTTTTCATTTAGCTATTTGTGTAATAGAGCGTGATTATTTCTTGTTATTCCTTGTGCAATTTACAATATTTAAATGGGATAATGGGATCATTTTTATTGTAATGTTTATACAGAAAAATCGAGAACCTGTTTTTCCTTTTGATAATGGATCTAAATTAACTGATTTATTTTCCGAGTACGAAAGGCATTTGAGTTACCGTGACACTAAAATGTTATGAATGAGACTAATTTTGACATGATTCTTAACTCGGAAATTTTTTTCAAAAACTCGTTATTTCGGGTGTACTGATGAAAGGTATTGTGAAAAAAAAATCAAAAGGTTATTGTCAAAACCAATTTTATCAGGTTAGATATGCCTAAAATAACGAGAAAAATTTCCTTGTATTTTTCTCAGAGGCATTGAATCGGGCATCAATTAAAAAAATAAAATAAAATATAAATAACAAAAAAAAAAAAAAAACCTGTTACGGAGCAAGATGGTTAATAAATTTATGCTCATTCAAATATCATTTTTTTTTTTTTTTTGTCGTTGAAAAAAGATAAAATTAAAACATTGTCTATTTATGGAAAAGATTCTCATTGATCAGGTACAAATCCCGTTCATGCCTTGGAACGTGGTACCCGTAACCTTCGGGGAGAGCGTTCCGTTTCGGCGGGTTAGTTTTGTTCTTTTGGAAAAACTTAATGATTGAAAATAAAAGCAAAGAAAATGATCCGTCACAACAAATAAGTTTAATTTCATTCTCTCGAGTTGGTTCGCAGTGTAATTTAGCACAAAACTGACAAAACTTTGCGTAACGTAACATTCGGATTCCTTATTGCCAATTACCAATTATACAAATATTGAAAATACAAACAAAAACACATGGAAATTCCATGCATTCCGAATGAAACTTTGCTTCCCCCCCCCCTTAATCTTGGTAAAATCACACTCTAATCTTGGCAAAATCTCTTGTTTTTTTTTTCATGATTCAAACGATGATAAAAAAAAAAGCATTCGATATGGCAAAAGATTAACCGAGTTTACTAACCGTTGTTCATGGGTGTTGACAAAATCACCTCGTAAAGACAGCTCACATTTCCAATCGAGAAAGTTTTTAAACCATCAATTTTTCATTCATGTGTAAAAAATAAAAAAACATTTTAAGAATTACGATCTGTAATGACATTGTCCTTAAAAAATAATTATTGCCAATTGGTCATGTAAATGAAGGTTTATAATTGAAATTATTCAGATTTTTATTCTGGTCAGAGTGCGAGTTAATTGCGATACTACGCACAAAACTTTTACAATCGAATGGATTATTACAATGAACCTTTTTGCAAATGGTACACACAACGCATTTGGAAGGTTCACGTGAATCAAGTTTGTCATCGCGCACGCGGTTAACCATAATCGGCCTCATTCAAATAACTTCCAAATTTGGGTTCTTTCATTAGGCATAAAAAAAAAAAAAAAAAATCATTTTTCCCCATTTCAATAATTCCCCCCCTAAAAAAAAAACCTGGGTAAATGGGAGGGACGAGTTAACGAATATTCTCACAACATTTACCCGTAAAATTCTTATTTTCGAAAAAAACAAATAAAAGAAGAAAATGAATGTCTGGGATAAAAATGAACCGAGAACCTATTCTCGAAATTCTTTCAGAGAGGATAGATAGATGCATAGAGTCAATGTATTGAGGCTTACGAGTGTTCACAAGCATAAAGTTTAAACCTCTATGACTTAATCAAATTTATGAAATCATTGAATGACATAATTAATTATGTGACAAAATAACCACAAAAAAAAATAAGGATAATCCAATATATCGACCAATGGTATAAAAGAATTAAAAAAAAAAAATCAAAAAATCAAATATATATATATTGAAGGAACGGAACTGTGATAGTGACAATCTTTATCCGAAAAAGAAATTACTATCGACAAAGGATTTTTTTTGATTTGTTCATGTTCAATATTTTACAATTAATGAATGAAACTAAATAAATGTAATTCAATAATAAAAAAATCAAAAAAAAAAAATCATGAAAATTTTTTGGAGATTGAAGCTTTGTTTTTTTAGTGGTTGAGATAGGATTTTCAAATAAAAAGAAGGGAAAAAAAAAAAATTTTTTTTTTTTTTTTATTTATCCAAACAGCACTAATTTTTTTTTTTCGAATACCTATGATGATATCTTGAATTTCAATTCAATTGCTTTTGAAATATGCGTACTACACAGATTTTTTTTACATAAACAAAAGAATTTATGCGTCAAGTTTCACGAATTCGAGCATTAAAGTAAAATATAGAGCGAAAGGTTTGTAAGGTTGTATGGAGTACCACAAACGATTTCTAAAAAAAACTTTATGACGAAGGTCGTGTCGCACATGGCGCAAATGTCAGAAATTTGTTGGATGCGATGTCAATTAATTTCTCATTTCACAACCTTTTTTTATTTAAAAAAATAAAAAAAATTTTGACGTTCACCAAACTTGTTTACAACAAAAACTCAAATACAACAAATCGAATCCAAGGTATTTTTCACATAATAAGTAATTTTATTCAACATTCATCTCCGTGATTTTTTGGACTAATCATTACACCTTATCAATATCAGTTAAATTCTTCCATGTGATATCATGATATATACATAAACATATATATATATATATAAATACATTACAACAAGCTCAGGATGTTTTGGATGTTTTGATGAAAAGGGGTTTGATGGAAAGAGAAGCCTGAGGAATGAAAAGAAAAAAAAGTGATGGAATAAAATGGAAACATAAAATAAAGCAACTTTTCAAAAGAAGTGGAAGAAAGGAGAATGGCGACAGAAATGGGAATGATGGCCAAAGACGATAATATATATATCGAAAGAAAGACGTTGGAAAATGACCGAGAATGAGATGGGGGAAGACTATACCTAAAAAGGTCAAAAAAGAGATGGTGGAACTGATAAACTTAGCTTTTGGAGGAATGAATAAGGTGAAGGGTAAACTGTTGCCATTATGGCTACAACAGCAAAACATACATCACCAAACAGAACACATGAGAGCTGCAATACCTGCCTCAAATTAATGAAAATGATGAAAGTAGGTAATGATGCATGGGATGTGAAGGAAAATGAGATAAGGGGAGGGTGATAGAAAGGAATCATGGTGTGAAATACGACGAGAAGTGAGATGGGTTGCAGTATGATGTAAAGAATGATAACGAGGCAGATAATCAGGTTGTTCATGAAAGATTAGGAGACGCAGCATAGATAGATACACGCATGGGCATGTCGTTTAACGCGAACGCCGTTGTATACTATGCTCGAATTAATCGAGAACATTAAAATTTCCATACAAGGTAGAAGAGAACAAGCGATAAAACATGCAAGATGTATCCAAAGACGTGCATGACCTTATTAATTATGTATAGAGATATTTAAAGAATTCCCTCGTTCATATCTCTGATATCGACCCGTCTGGAATTAACAAGTAGATTTCCTGATTTCAAGTAACCAACTTTAAATCTACACCCGACCACAATTTCACAAAGTTACGCCAACCATAGCCTTAAATTCTTTAAATTTGCAATTCATATGTGCGCCTGACCACTAGACGACAGCCATATCGATAACATGACAACCCGTTTGTATTTCTAGCTATACTCTTATGAGGTACAATCATTCAGTTTAATAAAAATTCGGTATCTTGGCTAACATGAATATGTCATTCTATTTGCCTTACTTTCGGTTATTTACGCATTCGTTCGTCCTTTTGTTTCATTTTAAAGCAGGAGAAGAATATGATAACTCTCCATTCTGTAAATGGATAATTAGAGATGAATGAATGAAAGAAAACATTTCCTTTCCTCTTTGTATCACCCCTTGATGGTTCCAATAAAACAGTCGTCCGAATGTAATGCGATACGTTATTCTAACCTAGTTGATAAAATAATTTTTTTTTTTTGTCTAGGGGATCTTGTAAAACAATAAACGTTTACTATCTAAACAAATCTCATAATCATGTTTCGATAAAAAAAAAAAGCTCTTTTTTTATTTTTTTTTTAAAGTAACGGGAATGCTATTTTAATGTGTATCTTTTTTTTTTTAGTTTAAACATTTATATAATCTTAATAAATGTGGTTAGCACCTTTTTGTTGATGATATCATCAAAAAACATATGTATGCTTAAATAATTAGTGAAAAATTTTTTTATTTTATAGGGTTTATTTTATTTTTTACTTTTAAAAATTTTGTATTTAAAAAAAAAAAAAATTAAATAACGAGTAATAATAATAATATTAAAAAAAAAAAAAAAAAGAAGCAAAAACAAGAAAATTCCCATACGGGTATTCCGATTGAATGATAAAAAAATAACACCTTGTTTTAGTAGGACAATTGATCCGTTATAAAAAGCGCAAAGTAAATTAAAAAAAAAATTTTTTTTTTTCTCGTCTCTAAATACATTTGTCAATTTGTCAATTTTTAAATTTTATAATAATTATATCATAATCATAATAAAAAAAAAAATAATAATAATAATAATAAATAAATAAAAAATAAAGACAATAAACAAAATAGAAAGAGAGCAATCTCCAAAGATTTGTTGCTTCTTGTGTAATCTTTCCCTCATTTATTATCATCATTCAATGACCAACCCTTCCATGACGAGGAATGATATTTACTTTCATGAACCAGATTGTAAATTTGACCACCTTATACCCAATCCCGACATCCTTGACATTATAATAAACAACGTAATCGATTCTTATTCTACTACAAATGCAAAAATTACACGTGAATTCATCGAAGATACCATCAAACAACCGTTGCATGCTCTTTTAATTCCTCCTCATAAATGCAAGTCGCCTTTTGCTTACCATCATCATTCAAACGCTCGTACTTTATTTAAACAAGATTACATTAATATAATACACAAGGAGATTTCACACACTAATGAACATATTTCTCGTCCCAATTCGATCAAGAAAATGTATTCATTAACGTCTACATCCTCTTCTCAAACGGATCGAGAAATAAACATGTTAGCCTCCCTGTGGAGCGAATCTTCCGCGGAAGTTAGACAAGTTTATGAAGTATTGGAGATGTGCAGTGAAAAAGTTCACGAGTACATGTTCAAGGCAAATAGGGTCAAAAAAGAACATGAAAAGTCCATGAAAGAACCGAATTTAACTTGTTTTTCAAATTCGATTAATTGGATTAATAAGGAATGATACTAAGGTTATGGTTTACGAAAATCAATTAAGGTCAATTCACAGTTCGCACGTTTATTAACTTAAAAAGGGAGAAAAGGAAGTAAAATGTTGTCAATTTGTCGTCACTAATCGTTCTTTTACCCAAGATATGCATCAATAGATTCTTTATTTATGAAATTATAAGAAACATTTTTAAAAAAATTTCGTATTTCTTTAACTTCAATTACCTATGAATTTTAAGTTATGTCATAAGATCGTTAGCTATTTCCATTTTAAGATATTACTAATAATGATAATATAATAAATATAAACTTTATGAATATTATTATTAACAGCGGAATTTTTCGCATTTTGCGTACCAAATTTTTTTTGTATCTCCATTGGCCCGTTTAACTAGCAAAAGGTTATCCCGCCCTTGCTGCAATGCGTTTTATCCCTGACAAAAACATCATGAAAGTTAAGGAACCCCCACCTCCCTTCCCCTCAATCGTAAACCAATAAAGTGGATCAAACCTTCTGATCCAAATAATTAGTCCAAAAGACGTGGTATGCACATTGATGTTAAACCAAATACATGTTTGCATCACATTCTAAAAGCATTCTTTCGGAGAAGCTCGCTCAAACAGCAAAGATTTGCTTTAATGGCTGTAATTTACCTTTCTCGTAAATTGATACCACATGGTCGATGATTATTTGTTGCCACTCGATAAACAGTGTAAATGTTCTATTAACAGAGGAGAAAAATAAGAATTCGAATTTTAAATGTTTAAACTCATGATCATAACCGTTATCCTATTTTTGAATCGGCTTCCCTTATGGTTTCATGACGTTTTAAAACACGAGAACAAAATACGTCGCAAATCGTAACCGCAAACCGTTAGTGTGTCGTCACGTGATCAAACAAAGTCGGAAGAATGTAAATCCGAGCTGTTTTGAAAAAAAAAGTCGTTTAAAAGTTAGTATTAAAAATAAAATATCATCGAAATGACAAATTCCTTTATTAATACTTTTGGAATAACATATGATTAAATAATTCTGAACACAACACGTTAACAAAACGTCATCCAAACATCCCAAATCATGATGAAAATCGTCCCCCCTTTTTTTTCAAAACTATTCACGTTTCCTCTTTAGGAACAAGTTACAGCGTGGGATGCCCATTATTAATAAGCTTGGAAAAAAAAGAGGAGAAATCTATATCCATTAAAAGTAATCTAAATTGAAACGTTTTTTTGTTTTGATTTTGCGGACTCAGGGTTGCGCTTTTTCATCCCTTAAATAACGTTTACGATGAATTTATCATTTCATTTTGGTATTTGTGTGATCATATGTAAATGGATCCTTGATTATTTTTTTTTTTTAACAACAAATCATCATTACAAAGAAATTTTAAGCTCGATTGCTAGCTACTATGCTTATTATGTATATAATAAAACAAGCGTTCAATATACACGTATATAGGGGAGCTTCGATTCGTGACATATGAAAGGAAAGATGGAGGCCATAATTGGAAAGTTTCCTGCGAACTGTTATCGAATTTGTTTGTATGTGAATAAAGAACTCGTGAAATAATATGATATATATGTGGATTAAACAAGATCAAAAACCAGTTATTTATTAACCAGATAGGGCAAGAAAATTTTCGGATGCTTCTGCGCAATCGAAATTTTGTTTCATTGGTGCGAACTTTTTACCTTTAAAAACCTTTTAAAATAGTATGAAGTTTATTTTTAGTAGAAATATATTTAAGAATGGGTAATCTGAGCAAGCAATAAAAAGAAGTTAAGATTAAGACGAGCATTTAATTCGAGAACGTACATCATAATTTAACTATAAAAAGCAAACAAACAAAAAGAAAAAAAGTCTAGTTCTCATAAATGTTCTTTGTCTTGAGATCTATTTTTTATTATTAATTATTTATTATTAGACCGAACATTCCAGAAATCTTTAGGTTAAAAAGAGACGAAAAATAATTCTACAATAAAATGACCTGAACCACCACTATTACATAGTAAAGAGGGAAAGATAATTTCTTTATTAAAACAAAAAAAAAACCATTTTATTTGGACCAATTACTGTATTCATTCTACTTGTACAGTGTTTTACTATTAAAAACACGTTGGGGGATCATGTCTCGTGACTCGATTTTACCGACTGAAGATCATGTGGTGAATATCGAAAATGCCCAAACTTCGGGGCAAAATTAAGCTGTCGGAAAGATGATGGTGCAACGTTCACGGAAACAAGGAACAAATTTTGTTATAATAATAAAGGAAAGAGATTGTTGTTGATTTGAACAAAGAATTCTAAATTGATAGCATTCCGAAAATTACGCACATAATTTGGAGAAAAAAAAAAAGACTGCTTAAAATTCGATGCCTTGTGACATAATCGAGGGAACGAATCAATCCAAATTCGAATGCGACCCTATAAAGAGAACGAACGTGTAACAATTTCCGATTTCTCTTTGAAAGGTAAAGATTTCCACTACTCCGATAAATATCTTTGCGATGTGATTGGTTTCAGAATCTTTCTTTTTGTAATAGTAAAAATACAAAGATCAACTATAAAAAAAAATTAAATGACAAATATTTTGTCGCATCAATTTTCAAAAGAATACCAAATTTACCGAACAGATGATGATTTAATTTTAATACAATTTGTATTTTCCCAAACATATTATCGGAAAAATTTCTTTGTCATGATTTTGATATTATGAAATACAGTAGTATTTATTATTATTTGATAATTACGAATTAAACTTTTTGCAATAAGTTCTTATAGTTAAATTATGATGAAGAAACATGACTCTGTTATAAAGTTGTCGTGATGTTTCGAAAAAGATTTTTTTTTTTTTTTTGAGAAGGTTCTTAAACAAACAATAAGAACTTCCGGTAAATATGAGGAATATTAGATTGTACAGAATGATGTATGTAACAAACTTCAATCATGATTTATCTGGGATTTTCATGGTAACAAATACCTGTCAAATTTTTTTTCCTTAAACCTACCTATAAATGCAACGCACGCAATACGAGAAATTGGAAGATTCTATGCAAACAAAAAAAATGTTCGAGATAATTTAGATAAGATTGAAAGTCAACACAACACAAATATGGAAAATAAATAAAATAAATTATTTTTTTTTTTAACTTGTCGATTGTCCAGATGGGCAGAAATTCAATAATTAAGGCAAATTAATTATACAAAATCTCTTTTTTAACACATCATTACTTTTATGGTTAGAGATGTGGAAACGTTAATTAAAAACAATCTAGATTTAAGCATTGTTCATTAATCAACGAAATCATCTTAATGAAAAATTAAGTGTATCCTCAAAAGGTTAAATAAAGACAAGACTTTTCTGTAAATCGTTGGTCGTATTTAGAAAATTTTCCGGTGATAGTTTTTATTTCTATTATACAAGATCGGTTGTGGCTTTTCTTGTTGATTACAGGTAATGTTTTAAATGTCATCTTTAGATTAGCTAATACAATTGTTTACGCATACGAAACCGTCAAATAATTCCAATATCTAAAGGACGTCCCTTCTTTTTCTTATTTGCTTCCTTCGTCTCTTCTCCATATCATATTAATCTTTTTTAATCAATAATTTCTTTTCATGTAAATTCATTTAAATCCCCTTTCGTTATTTTAATCCAACCTTATTTCATTCTCTTGTCTACTATTTTTATTATTTTTTTTTTTTTTAAAAAACGAAAAACGGATATTCGTAACACCAACTTGTCGTGAATTATTAAATGGGTTCGAAAGTTTCTAAAGTCTTGATAAACTTCAAGGATTCAAATTCTTTGAAAAATTTATCATCCCCTCCTATCCTTCCTTCCATTTCATCAGATAAAAATATAACAACAACCCTTGCGAGATCACGTTCTGAAACGTTTAAATTTGAAAACGGAAGAAGATATGTGAATGACAATAACACTTTTCGATACCTTTTGCCGAACGATGACGAAGAAAGTACGTGAGAATGATTTTTTGTATTAAATTTGTTACCAGATAAATTAACGTTACTTTTTGTTAGTTGATCGTTTACAATTGCAACATTATCTACTTCGTTATGTATGGCAAAATAACTTTTCTTCCCCGATTAATGAGATCCTGTTATCCGGTGCAGACGTACTTGACGTTGGGTAAGTGCATGAAAAATGGTGTCAAACTTGTTAAAACTTGACTTTACTAATCCTTTCAAAAATCTTAGCTGCGGGCCCGGTACATGGATACTCGAGATGGCATCAGAATACACTCAATCCCGATTTATAGGAATCGACATTGCATCAATTTTTCCTTCCGAGATAAAGCCTTACAACGCAACATTTCAAAAGCTAGACGTTACCCATCGTTTACCTTTTGATGATAATACTTTTGATTTTATACACATGAGGTTAATGTTTGTAGCTTTACGTGAAAATGATTGGAAGGAAATTGTGTTTCCGGAATTATTTAGGATCCTTAAACCAGGTGGGTTTATTGAGTCGCATGAATTTGATTTCAATATTATTAATCCAGGTCCGAATATGACGTGTTTGATGAACGGATGTAAGTATATGTTTGGTCTTTTTTTCTTTTTTTTTTTAAAGAAACTATTAAAATATAAAAAAAAAAAAATCTTTTTTTTTTTTTAATCTTTACATAAAAGTTGCTCAATATTTTAAAGGAGAAAATGTAAACATCTTTATATGTCCACTCATTCCAGGATTTCTACATGAAACCAATTTTAAAAATGTCAATGTTATTAATCAACCAGCTAAATACGGTTCTTGGGGTGGAAAATTTGGCAAATTTGTAAATATTCACAAACAATTTTAATTTTAATTTTTTTTTTTATTATTCAAGTGAGAAAATTGTTATTCATCCCTCCCCATTTTTTGATTCTAGGCCATTGACGATTTTGTAACGTTGTTTCAAGCAGTAAAACATAAGCTTTGCCCTATTATGAAAATCGATGAAGATGAATATTGTGATTTATTAAATAAGCTCGAAGAGGAAGTTAATGAA